GAGACGAATGACTTCTCTTTATCCTTAAAACAGAACTAGGTGATGACAATTCTGGCTCTGCTTACACGTTGTCTGTGGTCAGAGTGCCTCATCTTCTGCCTGGAGGCAACACATTTAGCAGTGAGCAGGGAGCTTGATTAAGTCCCTGGCCTCAACCAGCAAAGGTGCGGGATAATACCATTTCCAATCCCTTTTGAAAAAAAATTCTCAGGATCTTGAGAATGCCCAGTACCTATTTTACAAAAAGTGGAGGGAAAACGACAGCATCGCGTTTGGAATAGCTTTGGGTTTTGCCCCATATGGCTATATAAAGTTAATTACACTGATTAGTCACACAGATGGTTACAGTGCTAAGTATATACATTATGAATACAGATTAATATTATGCTTAAATTTGAGGACACGTGAGTTTGGGAGATTGAAGGAGTTACTGTTGAACGTTAATATTAACTACTGGCAGGAACCTGAAATTCTTCTTTTAATTATAGTGAAAACATCCACAAGGAATTTGTCACTGCTATTTTCTTAATTACAGTGAAGTATTTTTCCATCTGATTACATAAGCTCATTGGACCTAAAACTCCTGTAGTTTCATTGTCTCCTGCCACAGGAATCAAAGAAATGAAATGCAACGTTCTGTCTGAAGCAGCGCGCATGAAGGAGGGCAGTCTCTGCAGCTTGCCTGCTTTGTAATTTGCTTTAATACTTGTGCAGTCAAAAAGTCCGAATTCTGCTAGACAGAGTTCCTCAAACCCCAGTTTCAGGTACAGAAGCGAACCCTTGGCAGCATGCACATCTCTTTATCCTGCCAGTCTTTGCAGAATCCCCCTTGTCTCCTTCCAGCCTCTTTCTGGTACCCCCTTCTCCTCCTCGGGAACACAAAGCACGTTCATGCCCAGGTCCTGTAAGCACTTCCTTTAGTATTTCTAACATTTAAAAGATGTTATTTAACTTTCTTTAAAGGAAAGCCATCAGCATAAGTGAATACCCAGGTTCCTTAAAAGAGCATAGAATGGCAGTCACTCAGAGCTCTGACTTACCTGTCTTTGCATGTCAGTGACGTTCTGCTCGTAGTGGTTGAAGTCATGCCTCTTCCCTTGGGACTTTGTCTTGTGCCACTCTAGGATGCAGCTTTCCAGCTGAGCGTTAGCTGCTTCTAAAGCACGGACCTTGTCCAGATAAGCAGCCAGACGGTCATTCAGGTTCTGCATAGTCTGTTTCTCGTTCCCACCCAGGAAGATGCTTTCCCCATGGCGCTCGCCGAAGCCTCCCCACGGTGCCCCTCCTGCTGCCAGCCAGAGGGGTCTGGCAGAGGAGAAGGCGGTGTGTGTGCTGCTGGCACCACCATCTGCACTTGAAGGTCTGTAAGAAGTTCCCTGCTGGGCCAAACCACACCCTGAACTACCCCTGAGGGACCCAGAAAAAAACTGGAAAGGGCCTTGGCTGGTACTCATGCTTAGCTCTGTTGTGAATCTAACCCTGTGTTTGACCGGCTAGCACTGAGCAGCTGCCTAGCCGTCCCTAAGCAGCTTTATGCCTTTTCCTGTGGGAGTTTCCCTTCGATGAATGACTACAGCAACAAGATTGTGTCATCATGAAACGTGCTTCCTCTTGGTCAATTCTGAAGCGTTCATGAGCCTGCACACACTGTTGTTGTTATTTGGAATCACAGCCAGCCACGCACCCGATTGCTTTCCTTTTGGTTATTTTGTGTTTTTTTTTTTTTCTTTTTCCTTTCATATTATAATTGTGAGGTGTGGCTAAAATCCGTAGGTGTGGAACAGGATCAGCTCAGCCTCAGACTTTTTTCTAGCCCTGTAGTTAATATGTTTTCATGCTTATGAGGGGAAGAGTATCGTCCGTTACAGAATAAAGGAGAGCTGGGGCAGGGGTGGCTCTCTCGAGATTCTTTCTGTTGTAATTCTCAGGCTTTAGAACTCCAGCAGCCTGTGAGTCCTGAGGCACAGCGTGTCCTGTCGTGCTGTCATTAATGTACCAAACAGCTTCAGCCTGGGTGAGCCATGAGGCTTTGATGAAGTTCTCCAACCCCTAGTCCAGAGTAAGTAATGCCCAGCTATTCCCTTCAGCTGCCCAGTTCCAGTTAAAACACATGAGAATTAGGTACTTAATCTTTTCTAGTGATTTTTCATGATTTGAGGTGCAGTCACATTTCAGTATTCTTGTTGTTACCAGTATTAATATTATTAAGACATTTATCTGTTCAGCTATAGAAAATATTTAGAATATGAGTTTGTAACAACATCTGAAAAATTCAAGTGATTATTTAAAAGTACCAGCCCTGATAATTGACCTGGCAATCATGCAAAAATAGTCTTTCACGAAAGTTTCAGTAACCTTCTGTCGAACTTCTTCCATCAAATACAGAACGGGCAAGTTCTCTAGAGGCTGAGCTCGCTGACCAGACCGTACTTAGCACTGTTGCCTGTTCTGAGTGGTGGGGTTGGAGAGACCGTACAAAACAGAATCACACCCTCCTAGAAGAAACCTGTTTGTTTCATTTGAAATGTTTCAGTAATAAAGAATTGCTGCACTCCACGGGTTCCTGGGCTGCCTCCTTGGGCTCATTTTCAGAATAGGGCAGGATTTGAGCTCCTCCTCGTGGCTCCGTGTCGGCTCTGCTCAGCACCTCGATTTGCTTTTTACCAGTTGCGTTTCCACTGAGTGGAGGCTCCTTCTTATTCATCATGCTTACTGCATAGACATGCTGACATTTTAACTGTTTGGGAGATCAGTCAGTGAAGATACAGTTTGTGCAGTAAGTACAAGGTACGGCTATCCCAACACACTCTGATATCAGCTGCTATTA